ACTCTTTCATGTTTTTTAACCGCAGCCTGAGAAAGGCGCCTTGGTTTCAACAGCAGCAGACCAGCATATGTTTACTTAATTCCTGAGACATGATGACAGTGGTCTCTATGCCACTAAAAGCTTTTTGCTTTATTATATTCTGTTGAAGCTAATTTCTAAAAGTTATTCATATGCCACATGTTTTATCGCAGTGTCTTCAGTATGACCCATGAACAGCAATGGAAATTAAAGGAACAGCAACTGAAACTGCAAATTGCTAAACTAGAGACTGATTTAGCAGACAAAAATGAAATCCTTGACAAGATCAAAGTAGAAAGAGGTATATTTCTGTAATAATTATTATTTTCTCGTGATGTGAGAGTCTTCTGTGTTGGAGTTCAAGTATATTGCCCAGAAAAGCTTCTCTTGTTGGTGATTTCAGAGCTGCCTTTTAAGTTGATCAATATGCTTAAGTTATGACTAGCTGTTAAGTACAAAAATTGATCCAGTACAGGTTTTGTGCTGAATGACGATCATATAACCCCAGCTGCATTCAATCTTCATCTGTTGGGTTGATATTTACTCTTTATTCTGTATTTCTCCACTCCTCTACATCGAAAATTCAAATGGAAAAGAGGACCATCTGACAGTCCCTCTCAAATTATAAACCACTATTTTATTTACTGTACAGAGTTACATGAAGCCTGTATAGGCCCTTGAACATGTTTGATTGTCTTTCAACGTTGTGAATTCAGATTTTTTTTAATATTTTCAGTACACACTAATCTTTATTTACAGCTATGTACATTTAGAAGAAAACTGTATTATTGTAATATACTGAACAGATTATTTCATATGTGTTTTTCCCATTCTGTATGACAGCTTCTCAGTAGATATTTAAGACCTTGCAATGCTTTCTTTTTTTATCTCAGTACTGTGATATACTGTGGCAGCAAAGTTTACAAAACGAGAGCACAGGCAGTAAGTAAACTAAGTATTTTTAGAGATTATTCTTCAAATGTGTATTTTTAAATATGAATTTCTGTGAACAATCTAATGGAATGAAGTCAGCCAATTTGTTGTGAAAAATTCTTGTTATGATTCTGGCTTGAGTTTGGCATATGCTTACCATTCAGATTCAAGTAGCTCTACTGACTTCAAATACCAGATTAAATATTTAAACATTTTACTTGACCACAGCAAGTGTTTGCAAAATTAACCTTAAGTGATACTAAAATAAAAAAAAATAAGATGCCTTAAGCTATAATTATACAAATTTATGGCATATTGACAGAGATAGTTACTAATGACACCTTGATTATGCAATGCAAAATTTAAGGTGATACTAAAAGCATGAAAATATTGTAGGCCATACTACTGTTTGGTTAAGATGAATGTGGAAAATCGGGCAACACCTTCCATCTTCTGTCCTTCATATGGGCATTGAGTGGCAAGTCTTTACCACCCCGTCCGCAGATTGGCTTGGTGTACTCTTAAAATGGATGACCAGGTTATTACACTTTCCATTCTATTGAATTGAACTTGCTTGCAGCTTGAGTAGGTGTTGTAATACCCTTCAAGGCCTAGGTATCTAGGATTTGATTGCAGCTTCTTGTCTAGCAAAACTTAGGCAGTATAAGTTTCTTCAGTCACACACTTCAGCGTATCTGTCCTTGCTGTACATCCCTTTCAGTTCTGCAGAAAAGCTGGAGTGCTGTTTGCCTTAACCTACTGCCTGGACCTAGTGTAGAAATAGTGTCTTGTCTACACCTGGTAGTTTGGCATGTGAATCTGTTTTTCAAAACTTCTTTTCCAGGACTAAGAAAGATGTTAAAATAAATGAAGTCTTGAAAATTCTTAATGCTACAGGAGACTAACATCATCTTGCCCTTTTCCATGTCCTCCTTCAGTATTCCTCTTTTGGAGTGATCATGTAATTTCAATGTAAATTTTTTAGTAGTATTTTTCTGTCCATAACTTCATAATGTGTTTTTTAATACTTAAATATGTTTAGACAGAAAACAGAACTACTTATTTCACATTTTGACTATATTTGCCTGTGAGTTTTTTCTTTTAGGATATGATATTTGCAGATGCTTTGTCATCCTTCCCCTGCCCCAATTCCCTTAGTCATTTATTCTTGTGTTTCTTATCGTTTGAATATCTCCCAGATTCGCAGCCATGAATTACAATATCTGTCGGATCATATTCATTGTATCTTCCTGAGAGTGTTGTTTCATGCAAGTCTCAAAAGGCTGAGATAAGCTAATACAAAATCTAAGATGAAACAATTACTATAGCAAGGATTGATGTCACTTCTCATAAATCCATACAGTGTTTTCACTTGTTGATATTTATGTCTAAATACTTTTTATTTTTCATTAATATAATCTCATGCCTATCTGCATTTGTTGTTTATATTTATAGTACTGTTCTACGCAGAGTACAGTATTTACTAGATGCAGTTTTTTTCACAGTTGTGTTAATGGACAAATATTTACTCTGTGTCAGTGAAAGCCGATACGTGAAATACATGAAAAAATATATTTCACCCACTAAGTATGTTGTTCTGTCCATAAAACTACAAAGAAAATCAGCATAAAAACAGTTCAATTTTTTTTTTCCATGGGGTAACAAAGAAGGCAATCGTCTTGCCCTAAATTGGACCTTGACAAATAGAGGGTTTGGCAAGGAAGAAGGGGAGATGGTACATGATGGTGGGTAGATTATGGGAGAGTAAGAAAAATTGGTCTCAGTTGCCTTGGAAGCATGTACTTTTTATTTACAGGGAAAGACAGTGATGGTTTTGTTTTCTTCGCCCCTGCTACCTGGTTGGTACTGATTGGTGTATAAGAACTTTTTCTGTGAATTTATGTAGGAGGTGAACAAATGTAGAGGCTTTTGCTGATTAACATTCTAATTATTTTTATGTTTTGTAAATATGTACAAATATTTCATGTGGAAGACACCCATGCAAGTTTATTCAGATTAAGGTTTTGAATGGGATTGCAGATATTGGCACAATACGTATTTTGATTTCAGCTGAGAAGTACAGTATTGTACAGTCCCTTTAGTGTCTTCTAAGGCTCTTACCAACACAGAGGGCTATTTGCAACTCTGTAGTCTGCTACCACTCGTGGCTCTGTAGCCTCTCACACAAGCTGCTGTGTAGCATTTTCCAAAGCCTCCGGGGCAGTGGATTTCCCTCTTTTTTTGTGCTGTCCCTTTCATAGCCTTGCTTTTGAAACCCCTGATATTGTTGTGATGGTGTGTTCTTGTGGGATGTGTTCACCAGTGGTGTGAGAATCGCCTCTTCTCTCCCCTCTCTTCTTCCCCTTAAGTTGCAGCCTTTGGACTGAAGTAGGGGAAGCAAGTTAAGCAGCAGCCAGCAAGCAGCACCAACCCTGATCCAAGTGTACTCTAATCAGTGCTGATAGTATTGTAAGTGGAAACAACTAATGGAGAGTTGGAGTGGCTCCTAATGAAAAACAATGCAGTTATATGGGAGAACTGTCACTTCTGTTCCATAAAGACTATTGCTGAACTACTCCTTTTCCTCCTGCCTCTTTCCTTGTATGTCCTGTGTTTATACCTTTCATTAGGATTATAGAAGTGCAGCCTGTTGAGACTCTGGAAAGGCAACGCTGGCAGTGCTAAGGTGGCCTGAGCTGTGCTATTGACTAATTGGCCCTTTTTGGTTCAACAAGTTGTTGAAATTGTCTTTATTTGAACAAAAGCTCATCTCCTTTCTGTTTACAGGCTTGAAGTTAACTTTCTAAAGAGCAAGTGTGAATGAATATTAAAAATAAATGCAAAAACTTCACTGGGGTTCATGTCACAAAACGAGTGCACTGAGCTTGCTGCTTCTGTCAGAAAATTCATGACAATGAGATAGAAGTCCTTGAGAAGGGATTTGTCTCCTTATCCCTGGAAAAAGTGCCAGTTCAGATCT